TGAGGGCTGGAGCAGGGCGAGGACACTGCGGGGCCAGGAACGCGGCAGGGGCCAGCGTTCGGTGACAGGCAGGAGCCTGCAGACACCATGAGGAGGGCAGACCCAACCAAAGACCAGGCTGGTCTCTGCGTCAACCCCGTGGTGGGAAAGGACACAGTCGTGGAGACCCCAGGTGGACGTGCACGTGGCCATTTATGATGCAGCTGGGGAGGGGCCACAGGGCCCTGGCTTTGGACAGAGACCAGCTTCAACCTCACCTTCCTCTCCCCGCAGCCATCCACCTCCACTCGTTTCATTCATTCCCGAGTCACAAGGCCAGATTTCCCTTGAGCAACATTTAGGGCGCAGAGCCCCAGCCTGAGGCTGTCACCACCTGACCAGAGGCCCTGCTGCCGAGTCCAGCAGAACCTCCTCCTGACTCCCCAGGTCAGGTCCTGCCTGGCGCCCCTGCCCCCCTCCCCAAGGAAAAGCAGTTCAACACCCCCAGCGCCAACTTACTAGGTCATGTCAACAATCCAGTCTCTTCTCTGGACACCCACAGGGCCCACGGGTCGTCCCATCTGCCCAGTGACCATCTGGCCTCTGCCCGGCTCCCCCTCAGCCTTTCGCCTCACTCCTCCCTCATCTCTGGGTTTCCATTCTCATCAGCCTCGTGGTCTCTGCTTCCAGCCTCGGGCGGCTGTTGGCTCTGTCCGTCCCACACCGGTCGCTACCCACAGCACACGCACCCACGCGCGCACACACACGCACACACACGCACACGCGCATGCGCACATGAGCGCAGGAAGCAGAGGAGACACCTGTCAAAGATGGAGCCCACGCCAGCGCTGTGGGCGCTGCTCCGGTGCACGTGCAGACCCGTGGCCAGGAGGATGCCGTCCTGCACGGAGACCGAGCGGTGGGAGAAGGAGGCGATCAGGAGCTCGTTCCACCCTGCGGGACAAGAGGCGGCCTGGAGGCAGCGCCAGCCACGCTGCTCCACTGAAAATCAGCCCACGCGGTCACGATCCCCGGGACAAAGGCAGAATGGGAAGCCCGGGGAGGTTAAACACTCGCTCTAGACAACGCCGCCAGTGAGTGAAGAAGCCGGGGTGAGACGGGGTCCCCTGACTTGTGGCCTGGCACCCCCACAGTCTCCCCAGGGCAGCCCAGAAGGGTAGCCTGAGGACAAGGGCTCTGCTTCCCCAGCCAATCAGCAAATATGGATTGAACAGGTAACAGGCGACAGTCGCCGTGTTAGCTGCCATCTCTGGCCCCCGGACCCAACAGCCTGGTTTTGTGTCTGCGGCGTTATCTAGCGGTGCCCGGCACGGACGCCGTAGCGGGCAGGCTCCCGATGCTCAGCCCGTCTTCATGAGGGGCCCTGGCAGACGTCAGCTGCACTGTGCCCCAGAACCGGGAGCCAACCGGGGTCCCGCACAAAGAACCTGAGCCGGGAGGGGCCCGGGTGCAGCCAGCTGAGCCTGGCGGAGGTCCGGCTCCTCTCACCCCCTGCGGAACGGGTACCTCCACTTTCCTCTTCATGCCAATAGCGAGGCTGCAGATGGGCCTCAGTCAAAGCACTGAAGGCCTGAAAGTTAGACGCAGCTGAGGCCACGCAGAAATCCACGTGGGGAGAGGCTCACTCCTCCACTAACAGATGTTTCGCTGGGGAGTGGAGGCGTTTGGGGAGGGCCACCCAAATCTAAGCGCCTACAGATGACGTGAAAAGACAGCCCCAGAGGGTTAGCCTGCCGTCAGCATGGTGCACAGCTCGGCTGGCTCACAGCTCCTCCGAGTCACTTGTTTTACTCCCAAGGGCAACTTCAAAAGGGCAGCCCAGGTGACTGTCCCAAGACGAAACGAACCCCGACACCCCTTACCTGCCCGGAGCAGGATGACCTGGTCCTCCAGGGTGAGGTCGGAGAAGTGGGGGATACGCTTGGCCCACTCGACAAGGGTGAACAGCTGCTTGTCGGCCGCGTGGCAGATGTTGGTGACAGGGTCATTCGTCTGAAATGGGACACGCATCGAGGGTGGACCCTGGGCCCCGGCGCCCCTCCCCCTCCCCCCCGCCTTCCAGCAGCGGGCCATGCGCCACGTACGGAGCTCTCCGTGTTCATGTCCCCGTAGGACTCCGTCTTCGGTTCCACAGCAAGCTCGGCTTCCAGGATCCTCCCCACGGGCATGTCCTCGTGGCCCCCACCGGCACCCTCCGCCTCGCTCTCCGCCCGCTCCCGGCTCCTCTGCCGCTCCTCTTGCACCGCTGGCGTACAGAAGGGCACAGGCGTCACTCTGCGCCCGGACGGCGGGGGGGCGACCTGCCTGGGCCGCCCGAGTGCACAGTGGGCGTCGCCGCGGTGCTGAGGGGCTGCGGTGGTGCCGACGGTGAAAGGGACTCAGCTGCTTGCTACGCCCAGGCGGCCGGGGCTCTTCAGCCCACCTTCTCCCAGGCCCGGCGGCCATGACGCTAAGAGGTTTCCTCTGCGGGTTTAATAGCTTCCAGTTCCGCCCGCGCTCTCCTGTCCCTGTGGTCCCTACCCTTCCTCCAGCTGCTCCCTCTAGTAACCCCTGGGCATGCAGGGGGCTAAGGGGCCGGCACCTCCCGCCCCCCTCAGGGCCATTAGCTCTGCAGCCTGAACACAGTCACCCTAGCGAACGGCGGGTCAGGGGAGCTCTTCAGGGCTGCGTGGGGGTTTCATGAGTGAAGGGGGGAGGGAAGTCACCTGGATGACACCCCAGAACCCTCGGCTGATTTGGGGGTAGGAAGGGAACACAGGTGAAGCTGGAGCTGCAAAATCCCGCCCCCCCAAACTGAAAACTTCCACCCAGGCTCATCGCCGCCCTCAGCGCCCTCTGGGCCTGCCTGTCGGAGGGACGTGAGGCGGCCTCCAGCATCCAGAAAGCGCTGCTCCACCCTTACCCCCGAGCAATGGCTGAGTCCAGCACTGGGCAGTGTCCTAAATCCCAGGCCGAGAAAACGGCAGCCTGGGCTGGTGGCTCACGTGGAACCCAGCCACAGCCGCTCCACTGGTCCCTTGGGCCTCTCAGCCTCCCCCCCTTCCTGCCACCGTCCACGCCCAGAGCTCCTGCTCCCTGAGGGGCTGGTGGCCACGAAGGCTGCGGAACAGACCAGAACCAGCGGCAGGACCTTGGCCTGTCCAGGGAGCGAGACCGCTGATCCCGCAGGGAGGTTGGAGGAGAGCACGGCGGCCTCGCTCTCCCGGCCCCTCGTGGACCCACCGAGAAGCTTCAGTGACAACGTTCTTCAGTGAGGGGACGGGGCCAGGGTAGGAAGGCAGGAGCCGAGGGACGAAGGGAGAGAAAGCAGGGCTGAGGGAACAAGAAGACAGGGAGAAGAAGGGAGAAGGGAGGAGGGAGGAAAACGGTGTCTTGGGCCAAAGCCGTCTTTTCCAAAGCAGCCTCTACCACGCCCTAGTTAAGCCACACTGGATGCGTCCCTTAGCCTGCCAGGCCTCAGTTTCCCTATACGGAAAGGGGGAGCTGTGGCGCTTGGCTGAGACTGCCCTGTGAGGAGTCAGTGAAATGACTGTAAGAAGTTCACAGAAGGTGGCTGTTTCCCCTGCCCGGCCCTCCGCCCCTCCCGTGTCGTCCCCTGATCGGCCCGGCCAACGGCGCGGCCTTCCCCTCTCCTCCTTTCCGTCCTGGGCTGTCCTCCTTCACTGACAACACACAGGCGCCACCACATGCATATTTATGATCAGTGGCATTTACTGGTTGAAGCTGAACACGTCTTGTGTTAATTTTTCAAGGTAGGTTAATGGGCTGCCATTGCTCTTGCTTTTAAAAGCCGGGGAGACGCAAACGAAGGGCAGCCCCTTCTGTGGTCCTCGATTGGTTCCCACCGCAGAGTCGGAAGAGGGAAGGAAAATCATCCTCAGGTCACAGAAAAGAACCTTGGCCTCGGAGAATGATTCTAATCTGATTCTGCCATTCATCCCGGGATCCTTTGCGTGTATCCCGCCATCCTAAATGAGGAGTTGGGGGGAATCTTCTATGTGGCAGACATTCTGAGCTTCTACATACATCAGGGCGCATCCAGGGGACACTGGGTGACCTAAAATAGCACCAAGGTGGTGGAGCTAGCAAACCACCCAAGCCCATCTCTAACCCCTCTGCTCTGCCTCCAAGGCTCTGGACTAGCTGAATTAATAAAGACCCCAGGGATGTCAAATACTGCCCACAAATTGTCTAAAAAGTAATCCATTCTCTAACTCTCCAAACTGCACTGCATGACCAAAAATGATGGAAACAGAACTTCCCCAGAAACCCCGAGGATTGTTCGGCGGCCTGGAGGTCGGAGGGCCCCAGTCCTCCACCAGCTCTGCCCTAGGCCCTCTGCGTAAGCTTAGGCATGTCCCTAACCACCAAGAGCGTCTGTTTCGTCTTCAGGAAATGAATGTGTTACATCGGAAAACAGCAAATGCCCATTCCAGCTTCACCATTATGGACCCTAAGAAGGTGACAGGTCTCCCTGGCCCCAGGCAGGTGAATTCTGAGCCCCATTTTCATTTAATTTCATTCGCTCTGTCCCGCTCTCTAGGAGTGTAAAATCTGTGGTTGCAGTTTATTATTCTTGTCCTCAAGAAGGTGTCCAAACGGAGCCCCAAATTCTGTAAGCCAAGGCCAGGCATGACAGTGGTGAAGGTGTTAGAAAGCGGTCCTTCCTAGGACGAGAGGAAGGATTGGCCTCTCTCTGTCCGAGTGAATAGTTCCGCTTCCTTTAGAAATCTCACCACTACTCAGCTTCCCGTCACTCCTGCTTCTCCACGTCCGTCCTAAGTGCAGGAGCTAGAACTGGACCATTGTATGTGAATCAGAGCAAGGCTGGGGTGGAGGAAGGCTGCCCAGGCCCCCATACTCACACGTCCTTGTTGGAATTACTTCTGTTTGTCTGTTCGTTTGTTTAATGAAAGAACGCTCTTCTCACCATTTGGCTTGCAGGCCACTCTGACCCTGACTGAGCCGAGGGCGACTTGGGTTAGGGTTACGGCCCTTGTTGCTGTGGTCGGCTCCTCCTTGAGTTCTAGCCGACGCACAGCCCTCTGCCCGCCTCGGGTCAGCACGACGCCTCGGCTGTGCGGGTGATGGAATCAGCACAGCGAGCCTCGACAGCGGCCATCACCTCACGTCCTTAAAAATTCTTTTTCTTGTGATGAGAACCCTTAAGATCTCTTAGCAACTTCCAAATACGCAAATGCAGTACTATTCACTGGAGTCGCCATGCTGGGATGACATCCTGGGACTTATTTACCTTATAACCGGCGTTTGTCCCTTCTGATCCCTTCACCCATTGTGCCCACCCTCCACCTCCTGCCCCTGGAGCCGCTTCTCTGAACGAAGCCCTTACCTCCCGTTAATTCAGCGATTCTCAGCCCATGGGCCGCGAGAATGTCTGAAACATGCAAACCTGACCGTTCAGCCGGGGGCTGACCTCTCCTCCCTTAGGTTGTGAAATAGTAAAAGAATGACAACAGCTAACACAACAATAGCCGTCCAGTGTGAATGAATAGAAATTATACCTATTTTTTGCCAGGTCGGCAATAACTATAATATATTTGTTGATGTGTTGCAGAATTTTAATAATTAGCTCATGTGCAGTGAGATGGAAAAGGTTGAAAAATCACGGCTTTAATTCAGCTGTACGTACTTAACACAAAGTATTATTTTTCTAAGTAAACCTGAAACTTCTCTCACCTGTCCTGGGGGAAATGGCCCTGCAGACACCCTGCCCCTGGCCGATGGGAGATGTTTTGGGTCATTAATCGGGCGTGTGGACTGCCATGGTGGTGGAAGCCACACAGAGTGTCAGCTCCACCCTGGGGGGAGAAGACAGTGCCCAGCAGCTGCTCGCACCTCCCTGTCGCCGTCTATAGGCTCGCAGCCAGGGGTGGGCACTGGAGGGCTTGGGTGGGGGACGGGGGACCTGGCCCAAGTGATTGCCACCTTCCTCTGGATCCTCTGTCACCGAGAGATGTGGGAGACAAAGGTGGAAGCAAGGAGATGTCTTAGGAGCCTATCTTTCTTACAAAAGACAGTAGTGGCTGGGATCATGGTGAAGACAGTCCAAGTCCTGAGACTGGAAAGATTCTAGACATATTTTGAGGGAGAGACAAGATGTTTCTCCCATCGAATGTGCTGCGTCAGAGAAAGAGGGGATCTAATGGCTTTTGGCCTGAGCCACTGAGAAGCGGGTGTTTCCTGACATGGGGACTGGGAGGTGAGCAGGCTGCGAGGCCAGGGTGTCAGGAGCCCAGGTTTGGGTCTGTCAGTTAGAGTCTCTAGGTAACATGAGGGCCGTCCCGGGTCCTAGGTGTGAGCCGGGCAGGGAGGAGCCTGCGATGAGCTCTGCTCTGGGCAACGAAGACCCGCTCTCCATTCATCCCTGGCCGCGCCTGTCCCCCTGCTGCCCAGTGGTTAGGGCTGATACACGGTTCTGAAGGGCCACCCGAAGGTTCTGGGAACAGCACTCCTCTCCTTCTTGGGAGCGTGCTCTCCCAGCAGGGACTCAGACACCCTTTCCTTTATCAGTCCGTCAGTGAGCCCCTCTCCTCACGGCAGACGAGCACAAGGCGCCACCTGGGACTGACCAGACACCTGTCCCTACTTCCCGGGAGGCAGGACGGCCACACTTGGACATCTATTCAGTTTGCTAATTAGCAGCCCATTCAATTTATGTGTGTTGTTTAAGGGGAAGACTTTTTGATCTTATAAATGAAGAGAAAGCATTTTCAGATTCTCTGACTCTGCCCGATGCAGCTGACCCATCTGTACCTGGAAAGATGTTACAGTTTAAAAGGGCACAAGGGTGGTCTCTCCGAAGGAGCTGCTAAGCCTGGTGACTGGTAACGGCGCCAACCCCAAAGACCAGGGCGCTCACCCATCTCAGGGGATCTGCGCCACCAAGCTCCTGAGAGCCCAGAGTGTGGAGCCAGCAGGTTTTCTCTGCGGGAGACGCAGGACGAGAGGGAGACATTGGCTCCACCCAGGTCAGCCTGCAGTCCCTGTGTGGGGAGGGCGCCAGGACCCTGACACCTGGGCTCTCCCGTTGGCTCTCTGCCATCGGAAGGGTCCTGATCAGGGCCATCATCTGCGCACAGGACAGGAAGGGGCAGGAAGCTACCCCTCCCCCCTTTCTCTGGGGACACAGTCCCTAGGGAAGGGGACACCGATTGCAACACGGGAAGTCATGGTCTGCAGCCTCCCCGCCCAACTTCCTCCCACGGGCTCCAGCCTGAGTCCTGCGTTTGTCGTTTGTCCCCCCGGACTGGGCGAGCGGCCCTGCGGGGCCAGGGAGGCCGAGCCTACCTTCCCGCTTCATGCCCATGACCAGGCACTTCTGGTAGCGGCAGTACTGGCAGCGGTTGCGCTGGCGCTTGTCGATGAGGCAGTCCTTGCTGTCCCGGCAGGTGTACAGCAGGTCCTTCCGGATGGTCCTCTTGAAGAAGCCCTTGCAGCCCTCGCAGCTGTACACGCCGTAGTGCTTGCCTGCCGGCGGAGCCAGGCCTGGGGTTCCTTTGCTTCTTTCGTTCAAAGGAGCCCCTTGCCCCCAACCCCCGCCCCGGAAAC